ATTCCGACTGTAATCAAGAGAGCCGTGTCAATGGACTGAAATGGTGTTGAACTAGGTAAAATTGTGGTATCATTTGAAGAGGTGTTTTCTTTAACAACTGAGGTTGACGGATCAGTGGTGGTATCTGGAAATGAAGTCAGAACATATCCGTGTTATCTTCTTTTAAGAATGATCAAATAAAACATTATACACCTTTGCAAAGTTGATATGATTTGAATGAAAATTCATATATTTTTAATTATTATTATTGTAGAGCCCAAAGATTCTTAATTTGGATTGTTCAAAATAATCATGGTATTGTTTAACCTTAATTATTCTAAATCCCATCCATGCTTAGATATAGATATCAAAACTTTACCAATTTTGTAAATGAGTGTCTGAAAACCTTCACAACAGCGTGTTTGATTAAACTGCTTTTCAAACTGTCCGTTGACACTTATTTTTGTAAAAGGTTCGTATAGTGGGTTTTCATATTCCTGTCTGCATTCGTCTTTTATACCAATCACGGTTTCAAAGAATGGATCACTGACATTAAATAAACTGCACGCTACACAAGAATTAGGATATTCATATGTTATCTTTTTCCTCCTCTTCGTCGATATTCTAAACATTATGAACAATTTCTGACAAATTTACTACATTGAAATAAGTGTCAGACATCAATGAAAAATACTGTAATTTTTGTAATTTTCTCAATATTGTCTTAAGTCTGCAAAGTAAATAACGAAACATTGTATTTAAAAAAAATTAGAAACGTTACACAAAGACTTTATCTTAGTATCGTTTATATAATGCTACATTTTAACCATATTGGCAATTTGCTGCTCAAGCTATTCAACATCCAAGAATCTGGAGGAGTTTGAGATAATATTTTTTATTCTTCTCGAGTAGATATAGATTCCATTTGAACAGATTATTGACTATATAATTGTTTTATTTCACGATGAAATTCTTCGAGAATTAAGTAGATCAGAGAACAGCCCATAAATAATAGACTTGGATAATAAAACTACTTCATTTAAAAAAAACGAGATAGCTGGTACCTGAAACTTAAGTATGTCCAGTCGACGGCTTATTCTGGTACTTACCTGTTGACAAATGCTAATTATTGTTATCCTCTATTGTAAAAATTGTAACATTCTCAGCATAAAATGAATGCGTATCAAATAAAATTTAAAATATTCAATAGTGTTGTAAAGCCTTATTTTAACGAAATTTCCATAAATAGGAGAACAGACTTCCTCTGTCCTTAAATGCTCCTTAAACACATTCTGTATTGAGAGGCCTTTTCTATCTAAATTGATGATACGGTAAACAACACGATGTATGCTTCAGTCAAGAATAACATTTCGAACCCTCTTGCTGATGATTCTGACGATGAAAATCATATTGATAAGGCTGAAAACAAAATCTTGCGAGAGAAAAAAGTAAAAAGAAAAACAAAACGATAAGCAAAAGTCTAAAGCTAATTACTCTTCTATTGCTAGGAGCTAAGCTCCGTTCAATTTTCCCTTTCCCTGACAGCCATTTCGTGGACCAGTCGTTTAAAAGCTCAGATTCAATTTTGGAAAAATATTGATACATGCAAATTTATTCTTGATACCATTGAATTTGGTTACAAAATTCCATTTCATTCTTTACCACAGGGTAGATTTTCTAAGAAGAATAATTCTGCTTTACATGAGGACGAATCTTTACGAGGTGCAATTGAAGAAATACTAGATAATGGTTTGATCTCAGTCGAGCATGAAGTACCTTTCGTTACTAATCTTCTTTCAGTTTCAGTGAATTCAGTCGGTAAAAGAAGACTTATTTTAGATTTGAGGGAAGTCAATAAACATATCTTGAAACAATCAGTCAAATACGATGATATAAGAACAGATATGCTATATGTAAATAAGAATAGCTGGTGTTTTTATTTTGATATCACAAGTGCATATCATCATATAGATATTTTCCCAGATCATGAAAATTTTTAGGATTTTCTTGTAATTTTGATGGCACTACTCGTTATTTTTAGTTCAATGTTTTACCTTTTGATCTTACCTCTGCACCATATATTTTTACTAATCTTACAAGGTCACTGATCAGGAAATGGCACAGCGAAGAAAAGGTCATTTAGATGTATTTTATGCGTAAAGTTTTCGGCATTGAAATTTTTAAATTATAGTTTGAAGTTGATCAATCGTTGATCATTTGCAAATTGTGTGTGTACCGGGATATGCCATTTGGCTTTGATATTGTTATCAATTTTTGGAAATTAATATAGATGTCGTTTTAAAAATTTTGTTGATTAAATTTTGAGAAATACCTTTTTGGTAATTAAATTCCCGTTTTGGGTATATATTAGTATAATCACAAAAACTGAAATAAAGTTAGATTGAAAATGTAAAAAGCAAATATTTGGAAAAGATTTGTTAAATTTGCCGACAAAATTGCCTTATCAAGTCATCTCGTGCAGATGCTACACTCGAAAATATTGTGGACGTTTCCTCAGGTACAAGAAATAGGCTATTTCACAAGGAATTCAAGATACTAATTTTTTTCCTTCGACTGTTTTACAAATTTCAATTTATTTAGCGTGTTTAAAACAACAAGCCAATTCTCCTGCTACTGTTATTGAAGCATATTACACTATCAAATGGGCGCGTGATATTGCTGGGTGTCCGTCCCCAACTGATAATCGTTTTGTGATAAAGATTTAAAAGGGATCTTAACGGACTTTATCCAAGCCAGTATCAAAGTAAGAACCTATACAAGTTGATATGTTGAGGAAAATGTATGTAAAATTGTTTGATTGCAGCAATTTGTATAATCAGCGAACCATATTTATGTGTTTACTTTCGTTCTCAGGATTTTACGTAGAAAAGAGCTCATCAATATTTAAAGATCGGATGTGTCTTTTTTAGTGACCATGTGGAAATCTGTATTGAGTCCAGCAAAACGGATATATACAGAGACGGAACTAGAGTCGTTATAGCTAAAATGTGTTCAGATTAGTGTCCGGTCAGTAATTTAGAATTTTATCTTAAATTAGCAGGCATTCCAGACGATTCCCAGAATTACGTACTTTGTGCCGTTTCTAAATGAGAATAGAGATTGTGGTAAACCTCTTTCGTATACCAGGGTTCGGCAGATTTTTATTGAAGTGTTCACAGGAATTGTTGATGACATCAAGGCGTATGGATTACACAGTTTGCGATCTGGTGGAGCTACGGCTTCCGTCATTCGTTGGATTCCGGAAAGGCTTTTAAAGAGACATGGACGATGGCGATATCGATATATAAAAAAAAATCGATTTAAAATTGTCCGTATGTATAGCATCCTCTTTGATGTCAAAATAACTGGAAGGCATAAACTCAGGCGACAGAATTGCTTATGATAATGGTATACTGCTACATAAATGAGGTAAGTAAACGATAAAATTTTTAAAGTAATTATGTTTATCAACGATTTTCTATCTCTCCATATTTAATACAAAGTGTTAGGCTCGGTGTAACTTTCATTTTAACTTCAAAGAAATACATCTAGTCAACACATGAAGGAAAAACAACCATCATTAATGATTATATACCAGGGATTTAACTGCAGCTGCTCATGTAGAGATTTTTGAATTAATTATGTTAATATGTTAATTAAACAATAAAACTTTATAAGAAATGTGATTACTTAAACTTTTCAATAATCAAGTCAAGTTTCACTCGGCTGGTGTGACCGGTTGATAGCTGATGCTAATTCATCTATGGCATCTGATCGAACCTTTGTATTGGAGGTCAATCCTTACTTTACTTGATTTTGCCCGTGTTTTTTTAAAGGTTTTTCAGCAGGGGATGCTCACTCGTTCATAGCACCTGGTTCCACCTCTGATGTTGTTCTGGAGGTCTGTGTTTGCTCGGCTCCTAATTTGTATGTTTTTATGGACTTTTGATCTTGAATTGGATATTGTGCAGGTTTTTTTTTCACATTTTTCACTTGATTACTGTTCATAATCTCCATATTTCACACTTACTCTGCTGAAACTCATTTCATTAAAGTAATAATTTCCTTCTTTAATGTATTTGATTCATTAAAAAAAATCTCATGGTCTTATTTTTCGCGAATACTTGTTATTGCGAAAAGTCTCTTCACCGTCAAATCGCAGGAATAAAGAAGGGTTTATCAAGAGATTTATCATTGATTTCAGATCCATAAAAATAAAAGCAAGTACTTTTATTTTGCGAGTCGTTCTTCTCGCGAATTTATGCGATAATTAATTCCACGCATATATTTAAGAATTTACGTTGTTTTATTGGGATACGTATGATGGATTTCAATGATTGTTTTAATTTGTCTGAATATGATTTTTTTTTCATTGAATGATTTTGTTTAATTATTTAGTTGTGTCCTGCTTTATAAAACCTTTTATATCATTTATAAAATGGTGTCATTTCAAATTAAATAATCATCATGTTCTTTGCGAAGTAATTCATTTTAATGCATCTGCTCACTGTTATTGGAAATCGACCAGAATGGTTTTTGAACATTGTTTTGGGATATTTTTTAAAGAGATAAGTAGTACCCATTTTAAACAACAAATCATCACTTAAATCCTAGAGTGAGGATTCTTCTTGCTTCTTTTTGATCAATTTTGTGTACATTTATTTACATGTACATGGAAATTTCCGGTAAAAAAAAAACTTAATGTATTCAATGCATTCCAACATATTTACTTGATTTATAACAAAAGTTATTTTTATGTTATGCATAAATTTTTGGAGATGATGATAAACAACTTTTGAAAAACTTTAAATTAATATTGTAAATAAATTTTCATAGGAATAGAATACCAAATTTCTAAAGAGACGGACATAAGACCTGGTTGATTACAATATGTGAAGGTTCATGTTTGTAATTTTACTAATTTGTATTGCTTTATTAAAAAAAGACATTAAAACCTGGTTATCGAAATTCATTATCATCATACATTATGCAATTCATGCATTAAAATGACATGCCTGTATATTCTAGTAAATGTTCTACGCCATCTATTCAAGTTTTTAACACGTTTGTAAGTAAAGTTATCCTATTATACACACCACCAAATTCATCTATCAACGTTTAAGTGACTATACACTTTATTAAAGTCACTAATTAAGATGACTGTAATTACTAGTATTTGCAACATCACTTGTAGCGACCATGGTGTCATGTAGAGTATTGTAGACATAGTCACATTTAAGGTCATTATCGGGAATTTTTCTACAATTTACTTCAGATGTTTCATAAACGATATCCATATATTCCGATGTAAGAATATTTCCTGACATTTTTCTTTCACCACCATTTAATGCAGAATTTATGTTTGCTGATAAATCACTGTCGAAATTATCTCCTTTTTCTGATACGAAATAGTTATCCTTCACAGTATTTGTTAATGCAATCCTTGATGTTTCGGACATTTGTGAGTCTTGTTTAGCTGAGTGATAAGTACTATCTGGAAACTAAATTATTATAAAAACTTAAATTTCAAATTTTCTACAAAGATTTAAAAAATTGTTTTTGTATAATTTGAACGTGTATTTGAATATGCTGGGCTAAAAATAAAGCCTCTAGATTAAAATAAAATGCTGTCTGGTTATCATCAGAATAATATTAAATCTATCAAATATTAAGTGTCAAATATTAACAACCATACCTCTTCTTTAACTGTACATTTTGCTATTCTGAAAATACAATGAAATTGAGACTATAATACCTGGATTTTCTAATTTTTGTTAGTATATAATAAACGTACAGACGGTATTGGACATTTTGAAACTGATGATATGGATGCAAAAGACACTGTTCAATTGATATTTATGTTATGTGGAGCGGTCCCCGTCCAAGGTTTATACATGCTCGCTGTTAATTTGCCTAAAATAGAGGGAGACTCTATCGCATCACTAGAAAAGCTAGCTCAAAAGCAAGGCAGTAAAAGTTCCCTTCATATGTATTTACAAAATAATTCTGAATACATTTATCTTAATAAAAGATACTTAACACTATATAACTTAGGATTCATAATGTATGTAACAGATTTTTTCTGATGTAAGAGGTTCTTAACACTATTCATCTGATGATGCAAAGGTATTTAACACACCTATGACGCCTGTATAGGAGAGAACCGACACAGATGACACTAAGCAGTGCCATACAGATCATTATGACAGTAACAACAAGAAAACATTGATGTAACCATCAATTGTCGCCCGGGAAATATATAAAGTTAACAATGAAAATGAGTCTTGATCATCAAACCGCTTCGATATGTGTGAAAAGGCATGCGTCTAACTGATGGAGACGATAGTTGCGAATATTTTAAAAACTTGTAGTCGGATAAAAATCAATCAAAACGATACCATTTTAAACTTGATCAATTCCTCAAGTAAATGTTGTCTGCATAACATATAAATTGAAGTTAGACACACGTATTACCTATATTTAAAAATGTACTAATTTTCAATTTTAGAATATAAAACACGAACTGTGCAGAGTTCGTTTTTATCCGAGAAGTAAAATTCGATGTTCTAAAAAAAGGGACCTGTCGTTTTTTCGATAGTAAATGATAAGCAACTTTATATATCAAATATGAAAAACGTATATATTTTTACAGATTCACTTTATGGAAGTAAAAATGTTATGTATCTCGTAATTTATAAACGGAAAGAACATTCTGATTAACAATCTTTTCAATGTTTAGAAAACCTTTGATTCTAAATAACTACTCCCACCCCAATCCCCATACACCAACACTTAAACTTATATGTATAGAGCAGCCCGGTCCTCCGGGCTGCAATAAAACTCCAATGGCCGTACTGCACGTCTCCGACCTCTGGAATATTCCCTTTGGATGTTACTTCAAAGGTTGCTGTCTTCGTCAAGAATGCATTAAGTGATGCTTTCGATACATGATCTGCTGACAGGAAATTTTTCTGAATAGTATCTTTAAAAGAACAAAAAGTAAATTCTTTAAAACATGATGTTGTTTTTGTCCATTTGTACATATAAATGCAAATACAAACTAGAGGTATTGTAAGCGATGAGCTCACTAAATGATACCCCCGCCTCCATATAGTTATTATGGCAAAGTCCATGTTTGGTGTGGCCGGAAAACCCAAAATATGTGTCAGATCAAAAAGTAAAATAGGAGGTGCACAATGGCAATATGTAATAAAGATTCTGTGAAAGTTTCATTAAATTTTATTCAGTGGTATGAGAGGAGTTGCGGATAAGAGATGGGTTCCCCAAAGCGTAACAGACGGACGGACGGACGGACGGAATTAACGATTACTATAAACCCTCCCGCTTTTCAAGCGGGGGGTATAATAATGCTCAAAACATGAACACGTATTTACAGTAACATCAAACAAAAGTACTGGAAGAATATACGTTACCTAAATACACATTCATCACTCCACCACAACAACGACTAGTCAGAAATGTCGCAGACGACTTGTTTCCTTGGAAATACACTGTTGTTTCGCTGATACCGCCGTCTTTGTCAGCAACATTGCATGAGGAAAAATCAACATTTCCTACCCCGACGACATTTGGTAAAGAAAGGTAAATCTGACGACAGCAGTTTGGGATGTTACATTCCACGGATAGGTAGCTAGACATGGCTCTTACAAGAAAAAAGGAGCTACGGTAAAAAGTAATACATCAGTACTCAAATTAGTGAAATCTTTTTCTCATCTATTGCTTCATAGTGCTAGAAACACAGATAGGAGATAAGCCTCCCAGTACTTATTTAAGCTAAGTATACTCACAAAAAATGTAGTTCAAGTGAAATGTCGAAAGATACTAAACCACCAACATCAAGTGCTTACCATCAGATTAAACGATGACATTTCATTTCCTGGTCGAAAACCTATGACAACTGAGGCAGCTGTTAAATTTACGTTTTCATACGGTTTTAAGAAAGTTGATTCTAAATTGTCCTGTAATTGTTAAAAAAATGAAATGATATTTAATAAAAGTTTCATTGCTTTTGTAAAATATAACTTGGTCCATTATTGCTGGTCAAGCCTCCAGAATTTTTTATACCCCCCGCTTGAAAAGCAGGAGGGTATATAGTGATCGGGATTTCCGTCCGTCCGTCCGTCCGTCCGTCCGTCTGTCCGTCTGTTACGCTTTGGGGTACCCATCTCTTATCCGCAACTCCTCTAATACCACTGAATGAAATTTGATGAAACTTTCACAGAATCTTTATTACATATTGCCATTGTGCACCTCCTATTTTACTTTTTGATCCGACACATATTTTGAGTTTCCCGGCCACAGGAAAACATGGACTTTTTCACCAGTTATAACCATATGGGAGGCGGGGGGTATCATTTAGTGAGCTCATTGCTCACAGTACCTCTAGTTATTATTATGTTCCCCAAACGAAGTTGGGGAACATATTGTTTTTACTCTGTTTCTTATTATTATTATTTTTCTTCTTCTTCTTCTTCCTGGGTACTTTTTTGTCCGGGAATGATCTCGTAAACTATACATCCGACTAAGGTGAAATGTTTTTAGGGTCAGTAGACATGTTATGTAGATTTGCGGAACGAAGGTCATTTTACGCGCACGTGCTTGCAAGAGCGTGCATGTGCAACATGTGAAATGACCGATTTAATTGATATAGGCATAACTTTTTAAATTTTTGATGAAATGCTTTGAAACTTATAATATAAGGATATATTAGTAGCATAGACAATATGACATGGTCAAAATAGCAAGATCTCACGCGCATGCACGTGCGCTTTGCTCTGATTGGCTGAAAGTAAAGTCTCAATATCTTTCTTGTTTTTTGACGAAATTCTTTGAAAATTTAAAAATAGCCATGCATTAGAATATCCTACAACATGATATATAGCAATTATCATGAAAACACGTGCATGCACGTGCGCTGCAATCTGATTGGCTTAAAATTTGAATAGCTATAACTCCTTTGATTTTCAACCAAACAGGATGGGATTTGGAACATAGATAGATATACTGGTATACTGCAAGAAAATATGGTCACCATGCACATGCATACACGTGCATGTACGTGCGCTGCAATCTGATTGGCTGAAACTTTAAACAGCTATAACTCCCTTGGTTTTCAACCAAATGGTGTGGGATTTAGAACATAGATAGATGTAACGGACATCTACAAGAAGGTATGGTCACCATGCTCATGTATGCACGTGCGTGCACGTGAAATGGGTAAAATTAAAAATACACTTGAATGAGCGTTTTTTTTTTAAAATACTTTTGGATTAAATACTTTAATACATGTATTTAGTATATCAAAATATATAGATTGTGTAGACAAGATGATATGGTCATTACGCACATGCATTCACATGCGCACGCCTGCAATGCTAAAATTTGAATGAAATTGGCGTTGTTAAAGTCAAAAATGCATAGATTTTGTCCTATTTAATGAACTTACAGGGAATATGGAACCAAAAGGGAGTCGGGGAGCGTTTGGGGAACATCTGTAACGGTCCCCGTTACAATTAGCACTAGTTATTATTATTTTTCTTCCTGGGAAAATTTTGTACTTGAGTGATCTTGTAAACTACACATCTGACTAAGGTAAAATGTTTTTAGGGTCAGTAGACATGTTATGTAGATTTGCCGAACAAAGGTCATTTTGCGCGCACGTGCTTGCAAGAGCGCTCACGTGCAACACTTGAAATGACCGATTTAATTGATATTGGCAAACTTTTCACATTTTTAATGAAATGCTTTGAAACTCATAATATAAGGATATATTCGAGCCATAGACAATATGGCATGTCAAAATAGCAAGATCTCACGCGCATGCACGTGCGCTTCGCTCTGATTGGCTGAAACTAAAGTCTCTATATCTTTCTTGTTTTTTGACGAAATCCTTTTGAAATTTTGAACATAGCCATGCATTAAGATATCCTACAACATGATATATATAGCAATTATCATGAAAACACGTGCATGCACGTGCGCTGCAATCTGATTGGCTGAAACTTTAAATAGCTATAACTCCCTTGGTTTTCAACCAAACAGGAATTTGGAACATAGATAGATATGATGAACTTCTACTAGAAGGTATGGTCAACATGCACAAGCATACACGTGCGTGTACGTGCGCTGCAATCTGATTGGCTGAAACTTTAAACAGCTATAACTCCCTTTGTTTTCAACCAAACAGGATGGGATTTGGAACAAAGATATATATAATGGACTTCTACAAGAAAGCATGGTCACTATGCACATGCATACATGCATACATGTGCGTGTACGTGCGCTGCAATCTGATTGGCTGAAACTTTAAACAGCTATAACTCCCTTGATTTTCAACCAAACTGGGTGGGATTTAGAACATAGATAGATGTAATAGACTTCTACAAGAAGGTATGATCACCATGTTCATGTATGCATTGCATGCTCGTAAAATGGGTAAAATCAAAAATACACTTGAATGAGCGTTTTTTTTTTTTTGTATACTTTTGGATTAAATACTTTAATATTTAGCATATTAAAATATATAGATTGTGTAGACAATATGATATGGTCATCACGCACATGCATTTACATGCGCACGCATGCAATGCTTAAATCTGAATGAACTTGGTAAACTTCTGGGTAAACGTTGTTAAAGTCTCAAATGTTTAGAGTTTGTCTTATTTAATGAAGCTTACAGGGAATATGGCACCAAAAGGGAGCTGGGGAGGGTTTGGGGAACATCTGTAACGGTCCCCGTTACAATAAGCACTAGTTTTCATTAATACACAACAAGATTGCCACTTTTCCTAGTATTGAGAATAAACATAAAATTTGTGAGAGTGCAAGGATGTGCCAATCAGACCCATCCAAAAATTTGACGTTTCAATAAATTTAAGATGAAATAAAATTTTTAATATATTTTTGTGTGAAATGCTATTAAAATATATAAGTCATGATATTATACAGAAAATATTAACTTCAAATCTTTGTCCATGCACCTTTAATCCTCTTCGTGCTGATTAGCATATATTGCAGTCACCACAGACTTCCATGCTGGCCTGTCCTGTGTCCATCTCTGGATTTGTCCTTAGGCTCGTGTCCAGCTGTTTTCCCATCTCTTTCTCCACAGATCTTCTCCATGTTTCTTTTGGTCTTCCTCTCTTTCTCTTGCCAGATGGTGTCCATCTAAATGCAACCCTTGGGATGGAAGTTGGGTGCATTCTACATATATGTCCTATCCACAGCCATTTTCATTTCTTTATAACTTGAGATAGAGGAGTGGTGTTAGTCAACTGAGTGACAAAAATCTGTATTCAAGGTTTCTGAATGACACTATTTATCCCTGATCACTAGGTTTTTTCAGCATTGAAAATGAAGTACATGTACTAAAACGATAGTTCTCTAATGACTCAAGACTGCTGATTCCCACATTTTAAATCAAAGGAAAAAGAAGAAAGAAAGTACAACAAAGCTGTATGCCCTAAAGTATTTAGTCTACCCTTATTTACAACTTATATAATTTCAAACATAATTTTTTTTTTATGTCAATATATGCCTGCATTCATCATTATGAATTATTTACAATGTCAATATATATCTTTTTCTGAAACATCTATAAATCTACTAGCAGATATTAGTAATATCATGGTTCCAGTGAGGTCCCCACTTCACTGACATGTTCCCTGACTGTCCGGTCTAACACTCCATACACGTCCTTACAGCCTTTAACAGCCATGTCCACCACCTTACTCAAATTATCTTCATGAAGCCGACCATTCATCTCCAGAAAAACAATCTGTTCCGACTTGGGAAGAACAGCAACTATAATTTCTGGACTTCCTGAAGATTCTTCTAAATAATTAATGTCAACAATGGGACTGTCGCCTAGATAACTCGCTGAGCAAGCACAGACATAGTCTTTCATGGGGATTCCAGCATCAATTACAGCTAATGTCGCAGCATTCACACTGGCACAATAATTTCCCCCATCAGATTGTAGAACCTTAAATTAATGTATGATGGAAATAAAAAAGTTGAAAGGAAAACTAGTAAGGGATTGTATCATCTAAAAATTATTACACTGGTTGATGAAAATCATAAATGATTTCAAAATTCATTTTATTTATAAGTTCTGCATGTGTAATTGAGTGTAAATCACAGACAAAAACATGCATTCTTTATGCATATACTGTGAAATCACAGTATTTTTTGTGGAGTTTAATTTTTCATTGTTTTTGAGGTATGGAGAGCCCACAAATTTATGACCACCACAAAATATCATATGCATTAATTACATGTACCACTAAACATTTTCAAACCACGAAATCAAATCCCATAAAACTATTTTTTTCTTCAAGCTTCAAAAATTTGACCCCACTAAAATATGTGATTTTATAGTATTTACATTTTAATGTTCAAAAGCACCAACATATACTCAATCTTTTTATTTCTCACTGCCTATATCATTTTATTTTTTATTAATACCTATGTAATCTCAATGTGACTTCACTTTAGTGTGAGTTTCTCCATGTATATTTCTATGCGCAAGTGTACAGGAAAATGGTATTCAAATCAATTCATAGTTGGTTATATGGAAAAAAACACGGCCAATGTAAATATTAGAGAGGTTAAGCAGATGGCCGTGTACGTTTATGTGTACGTGTAGCTAGGGAAATCGCCTAATTCAATGCGATTTACGTCATCAGTTTTGCATACCATGTAATTCTACAAGTTGTACACAACGTGTAGATTTGCAAGTACACGTAGGTGAGAACTTGTAGTTTCTTAAACTTAAACTACAGGATATATATTTTTCAGCCAGTGTTTGGTATGAAGTTGAGAATTTACTATGTACATCCAATGCATCTTTTTTATTTCAAGTCATAGATTTATTTGATACAAATGGATTGTAAAGTGCCTTGTTGAAATGACGTTTTACATTTACCGGTACATGTGCAGTTTGTTTAACAGAAAACGACCATAGTTATGTGTAGTGTAAAATCACTTCTAGGTGTACATGTACAAGTGGACGTACACGGTGAAATGCTTAACCTCTCTATTAACTGATAATTATATTCTTTCATTGCACAAGATTCATCTTTTAATATCCAGGAAAATTCTTCTTACCTCAACAAAGATATCAATTTGAGACCTGGGATGAAGACTGGTTAAGATAGCAGCATTGAATGTTTGCTGTAGATGCATTGTCATTTCTTGAGATTTTCGATCCCCTCTTGGTCGCCTTTTACGTTCACTGGTGCTGAAGGTTGCCATACTGAACTGACAGTTGACAAGTACTTTATCCTGCAGAAGTTTACTGCGACTTCCTCGAATCTGCGGGAAAGGTATAAGAGGTTATCTGATTATTTCTATTACAGCTGAATTTATAGTTCCATAGTTATTCAAAGAAGTACTGAAGAGTGAGGTATACTAGTGATTACCTGTGTATTAAATATACAAATGTGTTGCCCACAGAAGAGTATAAAATATTATTTTTTAATATATGTAAGGTTCCTACTTCAAAATAAAGCAGACATTGAACAGCTGAAGACTTATTCTACGATTCTTCCATATATTCATATTCTGAAAATCACCTCATGAGGTCCGTAAACAGCAGCTAAGACCTTAGTATTTCCCTGTTCTACGTATGCTGAACCATCGGCTTGACTGAAAACCCCTAGCTTACATTGAATTTTACGTAATTCGTGCGCTCTCCTCCCGTCTATTCGAAATCCTTGATCAGAGAGCAGCTCTAAGCCTGCCATGCTTGCTTGCTTGCTTGCAAACCGAAACGGGAAATCACTATTTCTCGCTAAAATTGAAATCGAGAAAATGGATACGGATGGATATAAAGAATCCGACAAATCATGACGTGTATTTTTCTGACCTACCAATGTAATATATACAAGAGTCCTGTAAGCTAAACCACTAGAATAATACCAACTATATGATTGTTTGACATTTAAGGAACTAATATAACACCTAAGCTGAAATGAAAGATGAAGAGAACAAACATTTTCTTGCATTTCAAAGAGTATAGAATAATGATGATGCATGATAGTAACTAGTCCGAAAAATCTCACGTTTTCCTGGCTTTTTTACGATTTTGATATTTTACATGCCAGGAAAACGTCAGAACCGGCGCCATTACGAAAACTGGAAATTTCGCCGTCTTCAACTGGAGTTGATTTTCGAAACTTGTGAACCGACCTAAATGCCGAAATCAGACTTTTCATAAAAGCACCATGCCTCTAGTACTCACTAATATCGATGAAAAGAAAATATCACTCCACATTTCGTAACAGGACATTCAAGATTTTAAAATGCACGAAATGAAAACAAATCTCGACAGTGTGATAAAACCTTTTTCAACGGATTATTTATTTCATAAATGAACCATAAAAACTATATTGGTAAGTTCTTTAAATATTGTACTATTGATAACTTTTGAATTTGAAATTTAATTCAGTTCGCAAGTACCTAAAATCAACTCGAGAATGCCGCCTCTGGTTGGAGGCGGCGATTTCCCAGTTTACGTAATGGCGCCGGTGTCGCATAATATTTGGTCCTCCTCCTTTAAAGGTCCGGCCGGACCTAATACGATAACATATTTGGTCCGCCTTTTATAAGAAAAGGTCCGGCCCGTATAAGAAAAGGTCCCCCTGCGTTTTAAGGTCCGGGTGGTGCAAAATGTTTTAATCTTGACTTTAACATAAGAAATTAAGGCTACCGGGTAGTTTGTTTATACTATATGATGAAAGAAGGATTAACCCTGTTGTGTTTTATTTTTTGTACAACATACATGTATCTCTAGATAGACAAGAATCTACTCGTATAGTGTGCTTTAAGCAGTGCCGTTAAGGGTCATGATTTCTTTAAAAATCATGCTACAATTATGATGCAAGTGTTTGTTTTTCCTTAGAATTTGCTTTTTGTAAATTAGTACGATTAAAGGTGTGAAATCTGTCGGTGTGTATAGCTAATAAAACAATGGGTGTGTGACGTATTTGTTTACCTGACAGGTACCCACAGGTAGAGCCCGCGGCAGATGGCGCTGTCATTGAATTGTCGGTGAACCTAATGGTCATGTGTTAGCTTTACATATCAACAGATCTTATTATCTTATTTTTAAAAAATTATGCCAAGGAACCAAATATTCAGGCGTATACTTCAAAACTGCGACGTTTATAATAATTATAACCATACATGTATAACCTTTATTAAGCTAAATATGGCGTATCTGAGCTAAAAATTAAAAATACAAGATTAAGCGTAGATTTACATGAGATTTGGTTTTTATGTTCAAATTAAAATTTTCACCGATATTGAACTTAAATATCCCCACGTTTCTATTAGTTAAATTCAAACTAATTGAATTAAAACTGTGTCTGATATTTAAATTCCGAGTCGATAAGAATCGGCCGTTGTTTTAAATCTCGGATATCTATGAAACGCGATTGATTTAAATTGTTTGATTTTCATTAAATGTTTCAGTCTGCATTCCATTTCGGATTTTTGTTGTTTTTATTGAAATTTTAAACTTTTTATTTCCGACATTTTAAGCTTTCATTTCCGACATTCTAAAGTGTTCATCTCCGACATTTTTCAGGAAGTGCTTTCTGGTAATGAAAAGTTTTAAAGAATAAATCATAGACTGTTTAGTAAATCAATGTTCGGCGCAGTCTTTACATTTAATTTAGTGAACATTAAATACGATAAAAAAAATTGCATGTTCAATTTAACTCTGTCAACTAGACTTAGTGCTTCATGTACAGATGTGCATGTATATACATGTATACAGAACTTTTATATCAAAAATGTTTTGTATAATGAATTCTTTCAAAATTCCATTTCTACATACACGTACCTGGTAAACATTAAATTGCCGGAGAGGTACGTTGCAAACATTCCAGAAATGAAAAGAAATAAATGTCGGAAAAGAAAAGACAAATTGTCGGAAATGAAATAAAGAAAAGGCTGAAATACCATGCCGATTTCCGGAAATGAAATGCAGCAGTCCTATCTTTACAGTGTTATATAAAGTACCAAAACAAATAGAAAGATCTTTCTCATATTTTTAGTCTAAACTTATAAAAAAAGCCTTATATGACTTTAAAAATTTTTAAAACCAGTATAATATAAGGTCTGCCCTCTGTATTTCAGATATCTTCATGTCATAAAGTGAAATTTTTGGACAGGGTTTATTTTCGTAGCTTGAAAACTAGAAAAATGGACAGGGCGGACCTTAAAACGCAGTTATCAGAAAAGGTCCACCCTGTGTATTTCAGATATTTTTATGTTATAAAAGGACATTTTTGGACAGGTTAATTTTCGTAGCTAAAAAACAAGAGAAAGGGACAGGGCGGACCTTAAAACGCAGTTATCGGAAAAGATCCGCTCTCAGTATTTCAAATATTGTTATGCTATAAAGGGAAATTTTTGGACAGGTTTATTTTCGTAGCTTAAAAATAAAAAAAAAGGACAGGGCGGACCTTAAAACGCAGTTATCGGAAAAGGTTCGCTCTCTGTATTTCAGATATTTATATGTTATAAAGGAAAATTTTTGGACAGGTTTATTTTCGTAGCTTGAAAACTAGAAAAATAGACAGGGCGGACCTTAAAACGCAGTTATCGGAAAAGGTCCGTCCTCTGCATTTCAGATATTTATATGTTATAAAGGAAAATTTTTGGACAGGTTTATTTTCATAGCTTGAAAAGTAGAAAAATAGACAGGGCGGACCTTAAAACGCAGTTATCAGAAAACGTCCGCCCTTTGTATTTCAGATATATTCATGTCATAAAGGGAAATTTTTGGACAGGGTTTATTTTCCTAGCTTGAAAACTAGAAAAATAAACAGGGCGGACCTTAAAACGCAGTTATCAGAAAAGGTCCGCCCTCTGTATTTCAGATATTTTTATGTTATAAAAGGACATTTTTGGACAGGTTAATTTTCGTAGCTTAAAAACAAGAGAAAGGGACAGGGCGGACCTTAAAACGCGGTTATCAGAAAAGGTCCGCCCTCTGTATTTCAAATATTCATGTCATAAAGGGAAATTTTTGGACAGGGTTTATTTTCGTAGCTTGAAAACTAGAAAAAAAGACAGGGCGGACCTTAAAACCCAGTTATCAGAAAAGGTCCGCCCTCTGTATTTCAGATATTTTATGTTATAAAGGGAAATTTTTGGACAGGGTTTATTTTCGTAACTTGAAAACTAGAGATTAGAACTTTTTTTTATTGTGCAGAGTTTAGAACTTCCTTAATTAATATTTTAAGTACCAGCCTAATCGTGTGCAAATTTCCTTCTTTCACACAAGTTTTATAAATGTATTATACGTCTTTTACCATTCACACAAGTTCGTACAAAGTTAGGCTCATAGTAAACAAAAACTTTGAAATGAATGACCGTTCTCGATTTACTATTAATAGGAAATCACAAAAGTCGGCTGACCCCTACCACATTGTATAATTTTGGTCTTTATATCTCAATTTGTAACAAACTTCTCAATTGTGGTCAAAATGTTCAGATGACGCTAAATAATTAAATTTCGACTGCAGACATTTGTGTGTGATTTATGAAAAAAATTGATTTTAATAATGAAAAAAACCATCCTGCTCAAAGTCCTACTTTCACTTTCCGTGGTGAGCAGGGGGAACGGGTCTTATGCATTTATAGGTTGTACTGTACACGCATATGTGGCTGGCTAACGAAAGAGGCAATGTAGCGGTAATGTATACTTTTTTATGTAGCGGTAATGTAAGGTTTTTTGTAGCGGTAATGACTCTGTAGCGGTAATGAAAATTTTGAAAATGTAGCGGTAATGATACGCACTCCATGCATTTACCTTGTCCCGGAGTAATTATTATTTAGAAGGCCGCATTTCATTTCCGGAATTTTCTGAACTTATAATTTCCGACATTTTTAAGTTTTTACGTTTTAAAAGTTTTCATCTCCGACATTTGTCATTCATGTCAGTACTTTTTCGTCCATGAAAAAAGAATTCATACATCCGTTTTAAAAATCCTGAAGGTAAAATATTTTAGATAATTTATTCAAATAAAAGCCTTTGCTCTTAGCTGTCAAAGAAACTTAATTAATTTTACCCTGGAACGGATGTAGGTACATGTATTGTGAATGTGAAGTTTCAACTTAACTGTTTCCTTTACTTTTTAACTAGTCTTAATGTTGATTACAGAGTGTATGTAATGAATAGAAAAAACGTGATTTGAAATAAATAATTTTATCCAATGCATACATACAATACCCTGTTAAAATTCTGTTCCCATCTTTGCTATATATGTTAACCTTAAATTGCCGTAAGGGTATCCTAAAAAAAAAAATCCGAAAATGTGAAAAAAAAAAAAAATAAATAAATAATGTCGAAAATGAAAATAAAATTGTCGGATTCCGAAATAATAACAAAAATTGTCTGCAATGTTAAATTCAGGAAATGAAATGCAGAGATCTAGTAGATATAATAATTAGCCTTTGAATAGGTAAGAAACAGTTTTAACTTACATGTATAAAAACACAGGGGATATGGTACTTTAGGTTTTCTCAAACGAAACAATTATAGGCTAACCCCAACTGCCCAATCCGTAGGCATGTTGTTTTTACAATAAGGGGTGTAGGGTAGTACACCGTGACATAAGCCCCTGTCACAGCTAGTGACCCTCCAGTTATTTACAACAATTTTAAACGTAAAGAATGACAGATTTTTTTTATCAATACTATAATGAAATATATTTTGAAAGATGTGAACTTTAGTTTTTGTGAATGGATTAGTCAAACGTTTAT